GGCCCCCCCCCCAGTCCGGCCCCGCCCCCAGCCCCTGCGCACTTGCTCTTCTGCTGGCAAAACCCCAATATCTCCTGCAGCAGGCCCATGCGCATGTTGGCGCCCTCGTCCTGCGGGTTCAGCTCCAGCGCCTGCTGGTAGTCCGCCTCGGCAAAGATCAGGTTGCCCAGCTGGAAGAAGCAATCTGGGGCCCAGGGGCGGGGGCTGAGTGAGCCCCCAACCCCGGAGCCTAGGAGTCCCAGCCTAGCCTGCTCCGCCTCCCTGGAGAACAGGGCCTGAAACTGGTGGCTGATAACACCCGTGGGTGGTCGGGGTCGCCTGCGGAGATTCTCCGAGCTTCAGCGCGCCTTTCCCTCCGCTGCCTGATTTCTGAATGTTCCTTAGACAGACTGTAGCTAGTCTGTCGAAGGCAACGTTTCCGCCAGTGTGCCCGTGGGGGCACTGAGACTCTTAACTGTTGCCTCTCCCTCTTTCTCCCTCCCTCAGAGGCCTCAAATGCCCAGCCCAGGCCTTGAGAGGCGAGGGGCTCCGGGCCGGCCCCGACTCACCGCCGCGGTTGATGTACAGACCCTTCTCCTGCTGCTCGTCCTTGAGCACCTTGTTGAGCAGCAGCACGCTCTCCTGGTAGGCGCCCTGCGTGTAGCAGTGCACGGCGAAGTCGTTGTAGGTCAGCAGCAGCTGGCGCTGCGCCTGCTGCACCATGTCCTCCTGGCACTCGGTCATCATGTCCAGAGCCTTCAGGAGGTCCTCCACGGCGGCATCAAACTCCCGGAGCCGTCGGTACATGGTGCCCCTGAGAGAGGGACATGAGGGCCAAAGCGCCGCACTGCCACTGACTGGGATTGGCTGGGCCAGCAGTGCCGCTCTGGGCCTTTTGACCCGCAGAAGTGGCCCATGTGTGTAGGGGGCTGGGGGTGGGGGCTCCACGTCATGTGCTAAGTTTGGCCTGTGAGGCCTGGATTGCTACTCAGGTGACCTGCTAGTCACTGGTAACTATACTTTTCTCAAAAATAGCTCCGTCTTTCTTTTGGGGAGCCAGGTACATGCCAGCCTCTATGCTAAGGCCTTTTTGTACTCCAGACAGGTGGTTCGCCCCCACTGTTTATATGAGAAAACCTAAGCTGAAGGAAGTTAAATGGCTCTGAATCACGTGGTGAGTCCTTGGCAGGTCCAGCTTCACACCCAAGCCTTGTCCACTGCGCTGGGCTGATCCTCCCAGCGTGAACTGCTCAGCGGCATTGGGGTGAGGCCAGGATTCCACTGTTAACTGAGGCTGCTGCTTGCCCCATCTCCAGGGGTGCCAGCAGAGACTACCCCATGATGCCTGACCGCAGTGGGGAGTAGGGATTTTTATTAGAAGCTAGATGGGGAAACTAGATGAGGCCTAAGGAGATTTGAGGGTCCTCTTGAGACCACACAGCTGGGCCCAAGACTGGCACCTCCCTCCGCCTCATACCGGAAGAGGAAGAGGCTGGGGTCCAGAGGGTTGTTTTCAATGGCACAGTTGATACAGTGTAGCGCATGCTGAGGCTTGCCCTGCACGGCTAGGATCCCCGCATCTTGGCGTGACTTCTGGGCCTGGTCCACCATCACCTTGAGCAGCACCTTGGCCTGTGCATGCTTGGGATCCAGTAGCAAGGCGCTGTGCAGGTCTTGATAGCAGAGCTTGGGCTGCAGGGGGCCAGGGGTGGCATCAGGGGTGCAGGCCAAGCTGAGCCCTACCCTGTCCATGGAGGGGGGTGGGCGGACCTCCAGGCCTGAAGGGGCCTTTCTCTGGGTGGGCTGGCACCATGCCACCCATTCTCGGTGCCCCCGCTTTGCTGTTCCACCTTTTCCGCCTCTTGAA